TTTGTCAAAGTTGTCCGCGTGCAGTGTTCGTGAGGTCGCTGCTTCATCATTTCCGTTTTCCTTCCCAAAAATAACTTTCCTCATCTTGTTTCAAATATTTGTCGGACGTACCTAATTCAATTTAATCGATCGACTCCATGCCAAGTGACTCAGCTGACATGTTGAATAGGATACCTATTGAACAAAGTCAATCATCTTCAGGAACGTGGATTAAAGTCAGCGTGTTTCCAAAATCACAACCAACTTTCTAGGTGCTCACTGGTTAGGTAGGAAAGGAAGACATACCATGGAAGTGCCCACTTGGTAGATAGGTGGGTTGGTAAGCGAAATTGCGACGCGTGTAAGAGCATATACGGACTAAGACCAGTTTCGCCAGATGCAGAAACAGTAAGTAAACCGTTTTTACTTTCAAAAGCTCATCAACTTGCTACCTACTCACTTAATGATACCTAAATGATAAAAGTAAATATGGCATGGAATGACTTTGTAAATATGTCAGTAAAAGGATCATGAGGGGATCTTACTTGCCCGAACGAGTATCCTATATACAAAATAAAAAGGATCGTGTTCACTGGTTATCCTGACGCATTGCTTTTTTCAATCACAACACCATCGAAAACATACGGCTCATAACACGAAACAGAGCTCTTCAAAATTCATGTTCGATCATCATCAACTAAACGTTTAGCAAGGGACACGTTATTTTGAGCAGCAAAACAACACCAGCCACGAAGCAAACTATAGCCAGAACATCGGCAGCCGATAAACGGTGAGGAGAGCACAAACAACTGTGATGCAGACGGACAAACGAAATTGCAATGATACACAACAAGGAGGTCATCCCAAAACGCCGCCTTAGTCACTCAGGGTCGTGTGAAAAACACATGCTTTATATCGTCTATTTCATTATAAACGCAAGTCTGAAGCAAACTCCTTTCAAATCGAATTGCGGAGCCAAATTGAGCGGTGTGAAAATACTAATGCCGTATGATTGAGGGACACTCATGCATAGAAGAACCTAACAAGATTCTCCTCTAAAGGAAGGTCGATTGATTGTAAATTTCAAAAATCGTACTCGAGAGCACACGGACAAAGGAACGGAGTGAAGTAAAAGGGATTTCTCTCAAGTTCGTGCGGCTCGACCGACACGCTCGTGCATGATTATCGTGAAGCAACTTCCTCCAATAGCGGCATTATCTCTGAAATTGATGTGTTTTCCGTGCAGCATTCAGCCGGATATTGTTCCTGAGAGAACCGTCTGGAAAGCCTCGCATCCCGGTATAGGTAAGCGTCTGCAGAGTGTGATGGGATGATGTGTAACCTTACATTCGATGAACGACCGGGGCTCGCTGATAGCGGCTCAATGACAGTCGTTGGCCCAGAACTGAACCCCGTGCTTTTCGCATAACTATAGGGGTCAGACTGGAGAAACACAATACACACAGACATGGGACACCTGCGGTTGGTCTCGACAGTCACATGTCAGCTCAGCTGCAGAGTAATCGAGTGCACATTCGACCGCGCCCATGACCATGAGGAGGATCGACTTACACAACACACATGGCTGGGACCAGTGGGCACAAAGCTGCAGAACGATAGGACCAGTGGCGGTCTGGGAACAGACTGCGAGGCTGTCACACAGTTGCACCAGACGCGGTCTCGGTCCACATGAACCCAGCAACTCGGAAGGACCCGGCCGGTGCCCTGCGGTCAGCTGGGGCCATGTTTCCAGGTTGGGGTCGGCGGACCGCCGGCCACAGCCCGGTCAAATATAGCGCTCACCTGAGACGCTGCCGAGGCTGAGGACGGTCCACCAGGGGCTGCGCTTTCCGGGCGGCTTATGCGGGCCGCGACGACCGTCTCCGTTCTCCGACTCGTCTGTCACATAGACCTGGACGGCGTGTGGCTGCAGCGGGTCGGAGCCGCGCCGCCCCAGCCCGTGGTCCTCCGTGCTGGTTAGCATGGCGGCGAGCGGAGCCCGACACGGGCGGTACTGACACTGGGTCACGACCACAGCACCGACACCGGGTGTAACTAATTCACTGAGCCGGCACGAAACACTGTTTTGTCACCAACACCACACCACCACAGCACCAGCGTCCGCCGCCCGGTCGGCAGCAGCTGGGGCGGCACGTACTCCCGGGCCGCGAGTCGAGACCCTTCTGACGTGCCGCGCCGCTCCGCCGCCCGGGCGCCGCCGTCACTTCCCCGCACGCCGCGCCGGCCGGCCGGGCGGTGGGCGCCGCGAGCTGGGTCGGCGCGGAGAGCTCACACGCGCCGCCCCCGCGCCGGTCGTAGCGGCGGGCGCCCACCCCCACCCCCGCCATGCCGATAGTCTGAGCGCATTGTGTCAAAAGGGTCCCCAGCTTTTCTAGAACCTGTAGTAATTTGAGGCGAGCGTCTTTGCGGAAGTGTATTTATAAATAACCTTGCGAATATTTTTCAGTCACCTAAGGTCGATAGTTAGTTTTCAGCTTCCGGGGGGCAAAAGTGTCAAAATTACTATTTTCACTGGAAATGTTTTTATGCTCATAACTTTACTCGGGATCGAAAAACTTACATTTTTATCCGCATTGTGTTTGTCCTCTAGCCGCATCGAATGAACTATAATTTAACCTAAGGACAAGTTCATGACCGAACGGGAAAAGGTCTTTGAGCTGAACACATTTAAGGGTTTTCATTTATCTAGGTCGCCTATATCATAAGCTACTGTCGATTGATTAATGGTGACCTATAGTGACCTAGTTTGACCTCAGGGATATACGTTGGGTAATGGGTTACGTGTGCATTTTTATTCGGTATTCAATATTATTTTTGCGCGATCTTCCAGGGCTGGAAGTGCATATGAGTTGTGTCCGAAAAAAGAGCAGTTCAGTTAGGTACCTATCTACTATTGATCGGATACCTTCAATTGAGAGCTCGTGAAATTGACCTGACTAGGTCAACGATGCTTAAAATCCGTGATAAACGTTAGATACCTACATTTATTCGTAACAATCGCCTTTTTCGATCATTGCAAATTTCAAAGCAATCGTTCCGTCTGTGATATCTGGCTATGGTTAATTTTCAAATACTTCTTGAGGTTGGGTAACATGACGTGACCGTTACCTTGCCCTGAGTGACCTGGGTCTGAGATTTTCGAACCACGTGCAGAGAAGATGCATCATAAGGTAGGCCGGCCTACGTCACATGTGGGGTAGGCCGGCACGAGGCTGCAGCCTCGTGGGATGGGACAAAATAAATAAAGTGTAAACGGTCCCGGCGTGGGGAAGTCAATTGTCTTTCAATTTCAGTTTTTTAACTCCATGGCCATGGGCTTGATATGAATTGCTTCCTTTTAGCTCAATCTAGTCAATAATCCTCTTAGGAGATCGAGCAAAGTGATAGTAAGGAGAGGGAGGTGAGCCATTAAGGACGAGTCAAGGAGTCAACTTGACTCCTTGACTCGTCCTTAAGGACGATTTTCCATCTCTAACTGGGCGCATGGCTCTTGGAGCTCTCGTTTTTGGCAGGATTTTTTTCTTCTTCTCTGGAATGGTTCAAAACGTGAATATACGGCAAAGATTTTGCCAGAATCGTGATTCCCTCGTCGCTGTAGCGGTCCTTAAGTCGCTGTAGCGGTCCTTCAGTCGCTGGAGCCTGGAACCATGGATTATGGTGAGCATTTACTTTTTCTTGAGGTGAAGTCACTATGACGGGATTTGGTGACCTGACTTCGAATGACTTGGGCTTAACGATGAACGAGCTTAATATGACTTTGGCATGCTCCGGTATAAGTCCGTCTAACCGGCAATATCCGAGAAAATAGTGCATGAGCAGGAAATTGCTTAGCAGAACATTCAGCAGAAAGCGAGGCGCAAGGCGAGGCGGAGTGAAGCTGGGAGGCCATAAATGCGTGACACATCGCTAGAACCCTGTCATCAGACGGTGCTTCTTCCCGCTGTGTAGCACTCTTCTTTCGCTGGCGGGGAACCCACTCCACGGCGCAGCGATGACGCTCATTAAAAATCCGTCAGACGGCGCCAGCTGAGTCCACAGACCCCCCCTCCAGGGAGACGCACCTCCCCTCGGGGGAGTGTGCTCATTACCGTACTGTGTGAGGCACGGCGCGGCTGCGTATTCAGTAAACCCGCTGCCACTTCCACACAAAGACGCGCATCCATGCAAAGACCTCAGAAGGAAACGGCACTCGCTAACGCTGACGCCGGGGCAGGACAGGAGAGGAAAAGGTCAAGGGTGGCAGGCAGCAGTTGCCGTCACGATCAGCTGAACAGGTACCGCTGGGGTCCTGTGACGTGCATGATCAATGAAACGCACGAGCTAGGTCGGGTGCCAAAGCCACGCTGATCTCAAATCTGTAGACTTACCAACACAAACACTGTTGGGCGGAACAAACTGGAAATAAGAAGTTATTCCCCGGCTGTAACGTTGTTATAGATACTAGATATGCAAATTGCAGCGGTGAACAGAACAGTCGCCTGCTCCTTAAGACGTCTTTGCTCTGCTGATTCTTGAGCAAGAGAAGTAACGAGGTAGACTGACAATATTTTATCCGTGACGTTACGTAAATAGACCTCATCATCTGATATGAGGCAGATTTGCTCCATGAATGCTTATCTCGGAGATGAATGCATCCACTCCCATTTCAAAAGTCATGCGCCTATTGCTACAAAAGTGTCCCTGCATGACACTAAGCGTCACAGCGAATCCTGTCGTGAAACACAGCGGTGCTCATTACAAAGCAGACTAATATCTTTCCCAGCGGCACACCGTTACGAAGCTGTCAACTCAGAGCAGCATGATGCGAGGAGCGGAGCTTGCATGTCGATGGCCCACTGGTGAAATGACATTGTGCACTGCACAACATACAGCATTGGACAACGGACATGTGCAATGAACACGACAGACGGCACAAGTACATATAGGTCCTGTTAGCGAACCGGTCCCCGAATTCAGCGTCATGCTAAAATCTTGGCCGATATTCTTTAAGTTAAGTGATATTTACGAGCATCCACCTGTATTTAATGGCTGAGACCACGACTGCACGTAAATGGCATACAAGACGCACCCAGCGACCCGGTGCTCGGGGGTGGGTGGTTCCCCAATCTTTCCAGACTACAAACCCCACCATGCACACGCTCCACCCGCACCTAATGCCCGCGGCGCCGCCGCCCTAGGTCCCGCACCACTCACTGGCAAGAACAAAGCACCGCAGAGCGCTCGCTACAACATATCACAACCACGACCGCCGCCACGGCGCCGGCGAAGGCAATAACAAACATCGCGCCGCGTTGGTCAGGTCTATAACGTAAAAGAAACGGCACTGAATCACTCACAGACACACGGGCGAAATGCGCTGTCCGGACTATTGCACTCTGTCTAGAGGGAGGCGGCGAGGGGACGTCCACCTGTTAGATCGGATTCGGGCGTTACCGGTTGGGAGGACGTGAGACTGGCTCAGACAGACCAGCCGCACACGCTACAACGGTACCTCGTTTATACGGCGGATTAAATATGTCACAAATAAGACTGCAACGACAAAACACAATCACACATACACCATTCAGTAAACTTCTCCCAGGAGAATAAGATCAACCCGAACTCGATGACTAAATAAGCTCAAAGTAACCGATCGGGAAAGCTAAACACCAATCCACCTAACACTGTTCAGCATGTAGATCACCAGTTAAACACTGACCTATGAAAGAGATGTCTTGCGCCAGCTAAACCAGGCTCAACCTTCACTGACCGAACTTGACTCAACCAGGGTATCCACTGACGTGACTCAAGGGCGAGTCATAGTCATGGATGTCTTTGCACCTCAGCATTGCACTCCTCAGGAACCACTGGCACTCACGACATCCTGCTGAGCTGATCCCGCGACCTCGCTCAGACCTGTCTCAGTTGTGACCTGTACCTGTAGTCCATACCTGCTCCTGTCTGAGGCAGCCGAGGCGCCTTCAATCTCCATCAAAACCCCCTATCGCCGGCAGGTGCAGGGCCCATAGTCGGCCCGTTTTGCGCCCAGAGGACGGACCTAACCCGGCCTGGCCTGGACGCATGACACGGTGCATTCAAAGCGTGCCGTCGAGCGCGCAACCAAGTCCGTTCAACGGTGAACACAGATCGTCAACTGAACACAGATAGACGTCACCCTCGGTGGACGTGAACGCGACGATTGGGGGCCGCCAGAGGACGGACCGATGTCCCCCTGGCGGTCGCGGTCGCGCGCGGAATGCATCCTGAGGTATCACAGAGAGATACAAGCCGACACTACGATCGGCATCTCTGACCGAACGTTACACACTACACGTCATGAGCGACTACACCACGAGTCGCGGTAGTCAGTCACCGCCGGCACAGTCCTGACTCCTACGAGTCAGCACAGTCCTGACTCCTACGAGTCACTGAGCCAGTTGCCGGCTACGGGCTGGACTTGCGTCCACTCTTCGCGCCTTGCCGACCCGGCGGCGACTCCAACCAGCCTGACTGGCATCTCGACCATCACTACTGACCTAGATTATAACCCAAATCACACCTATAGGTCCCCAACGTACCACCTACATCTTTTTGCCGGCTTTGGGCGGACGTGACACGCCGTTTCGCTTACGGCGTTTGTTGTTTCTGGATGGTCGCCGCCGACCGGAGGCGGCTTCAAAGAGAGGTTCGCTCTCCGAGTCGGTCTCTGAGGCCATCAGGCTGCTGGCAGAGTGGCCGCCGTCTGTCGGGGATTCAGAGGATTGTTAAGAAGGGTCAACAGACAACAGACAGTCAGGAAAGGTCAGCAGACAGCCAGAGGGATCAACAGGGGCAACACGTCGTAACAAAAGATCAGCAAAGTCAGCAGATGCTCCAAGAAAGCCAAACTATAAATTACGAGAAGGAAAACCAACCGGTAGCACAAGGCAAAATAGGTGTACCAAGAAGAGGCGATAAACTCAGTAAACATTGCGGAAAGTGGTGTACATTCTTCTCTAGCAACACAGCTTCGCACTGAACAACGGTATGCACCAATCTCGCTAACGGTTCCCCATCTCCTCCCATGCTCGACTCATCTCTTTCCCAAACAGCCAGCCTCCCCTGACACTGTGTTCTACCCACCGACCTCCGCGCGACACCTACTTTTGGGCAGCATCTGTAGTCCCTCAGGATCGCTGACGGGCGTGTAGCGCGCGCGGCGGGTCCGTCTCAGTCCGGAGCCGACTCCGGCGGAGCCACAGCGGCGACGCAGCAGGCAGATGGCCGCCCACACGGCCACGCCCAGCGCGACGACCAGCGAGAACGAGATGATGATGACGTACAGAACGCTCCAGTCTGTGGAGGGGGAGAGGATGTGGAATCATATATAGCGCTACGTCTGGTGACGGGGAGGGGATAGGTATTTACACACGGCGCTCCAGTCTAGTGGGAAGGGGAGAATTAGAGAATTATACACAGTGTTCCAGTCTGGTGGAGAGTGGGACAATGCGGAATTATACACCAAGCTCCAAACGTCTACTGGGAAGGGGACAAGATGGTATCATACACAAGCTAACGCTCCAGTCTTCGGAATAAATCACTCCACTACAGTCATGGTGAGGCTTCAGTATAAATCGTTCCAGTGAAACTCATGATGAGAATGCCGTATTGGTACGCGGTTAAAGTTACACGCTAGCGCGAGAAGCAATGGGAGCACGGTTGGGCGGGGGGGGGGGGGCGCAGATATCGGGCTGCTGCAAACGAAATGTCAGAGGTTAGGCTGGCGTGCAGCGGGTTCAACTGCAGGGGGAACGGATCAGAATTCAGAGGTGGATGTCTCAATACTGAGAATAGAGCGGTTAGATCAGGTAGCTTCCAAGGATGGAAGGGGACCGCAAATATTGATTCCCAGAATGTAAATGACAGCTAGCATCGAAGTATGCGACGAGACGAATACTCAGCCAGGAGACAGATAACACAGCCTGTCATGCATTTTCTGCAAATCGGCCGTGCCTACGTAACATCGTAATATAGTCGGTCACCCACCAGACGTACATGTTTGCCTTTGAAAGCACTGGAAGTGCCTGCATACAACACTAAGGCCGGCATTTTATCGCTCACCCATGAGACCTAGTGGCGTGCTCACATACCCGACAGACACACGCTACCCATGCCCCAGCTTCCCACACCCTCCACTCACCACAGTTCGCCTGTCCATCGCTGCCGAGCCTCTTGAAGAAGTTCTCCGTCCAGAATCGGTCGCAGACACAGAGTCGCGTGGTCTCGTCACACCGTCCGTGACCTGAGCACGGGTTCTGGCAGGTGACTGTGTCTAGGAGGAGGACGGCGTGGTCCAGCGCCGACGGGTCCGAGCGGAGGTGAGCGCGCAGAGCGGATACGACCGACACGCCGGGCAGCATCTGAGGTAGAGAAAGGGGAGTTAAAGACAGGAACAGTATCTACCGCCAAAACACACACCGGGCAGCATTTGAGGTAGAGGGAGGCCGGGGGTTAGATAGAGGAGGAACATAACCATCACAATCGACACACACATGACACAACAGCGTCTATGGCAACAGAGGGGAGGTTTAAAGCAGACGATGGTAGTTTGGGGATAGCTGCTCAAACGAAATGCATTGTAGGAGCAGGGAGAGATAACACCACCGACAACTAATAACATCTAAGTCAAGAATGGTGAATAAGATATCACACTGAACACATTGATAGATAACTGATCCTCATATTCCACATCATGTGGATATGAAAGGGGAATGTTTTTTGATACCCAATCTTAGGATAACATCCGGGACAAGAGAGCCCGCCCGGCCTGGCAAAGCGCGTCAGCTTCTGTCGTCATCTGCCCATTTTGTATCTGCCTGATTACCAGTTTTACGCAGTTTATCAATCTCCGGTAATTTGCTACTACAAATGACCTTTCCTATACGGTTGCCTGTCCAACAACGCGTAATAAAATAAGCCCTTGCTATGTGGTTAGCATCTCCTCAAACCAGTATGGGCGGTAAAATGTAAATGACATGGATTTTCAGCGCGCCCCTCCTGAGCAGGATAATTGTACTTCTGGCATTTTCACATAAGCCGTGCAACCGTCACGTCCAGTCATTATCTCCGATATACCGCTGGATTGGACCAAGCCTGTAACTGACCTTTATCTGCGGTTTGGCGCCGTCTGACAGGGTAGTCTCAGACGCAGTGAGCTCCACCAGAAGGTGCCCAGTGCGGGGCTCAGCCGACCAGCGCAGCAGACGCACCTGTACGTCCCCGCTGGAGGGTACCAGGAGAGCCACCTTTCGCACCAGGGCCTCCTGCTGCGCCTGGGTCCACTGGAACACACACATAGGGAGGGAGTGTTACACAGGGTACCGGGAGGGCCACCTTCCGTATCAGGACCTCCTGCTGCGCCTGGGTCCACTGAAACATACAGGAGGAGGGAGTGTTATACACTTAGCGCCCAGAGGATAATTATAATGGAAACCAGTAGCGTCATCTACTGACCACAGCAGACCCAAATATGTAACGGAATCTGCCTTCAAATCTATAAATTAATTTTCTAGGAAGCACATTAATCGGAAATGAAAACTCATGGGCTGGTGATCACTTGCAGCAGGACGCACAATTAACTGAAAACTAATTATTTCATCACACAGCACACGATGTGTACAGTGTTTGGTCATAACAATACCACAAATAACTAGACAATACCCACACTCATATCATGATAGCTTGGAGTGAAAAATAGCTCAACCATCCCCGCCCAGCAGTGATGTTGCACAGCGTACCTGTCCGAATGGGACGTCGAGCTCGACCCTGATCTGGCTGTCGATGTACGGGTCCTCCTGGATGACCACGGAGACGGTGTCGCGCGCCGTGGCGCCCTGCTCGTCGGTGACGGTCAGGTGGAACCGGTACAACCCGGCGACCATGTCCACCAGCTGGTGGACAGAGCGGGGGAGGAGGGGTGTCAGGTGGAACCGGTACAACCCGGCGACCATGTCCACCAGCTGGCGAGCGGAGTAGGGAGGGTCACCGTAGGAACAGGGGGTCATGTGCACCACCAGAGGGCTACGGGCTAATTACGTATTATGCGTGACTGGGTATACTTCGTGCATTACTGTTAAGAAGTGCAGGATTTTGGTGAAAGCTGACGCTCAGTAATACATACCGTAAAAATCAATATAGTTATCAGTAAACCATAAGACAAAAAAAGTCCGAGGTAACTGAAATGCAAGGGATCGCGGCTAGCCAATCGGGCAATACAGCTCTAAAAGAAGAACAACGACAAAAGACACCCCTAACGCCGTACCAACATGCAATCATTTTTCACTGCTCTGACTTTCCTAACTACACGTCCCGCTAGACCCCTAGCCTTTGCTCTCATACTTCCCTTGCACCACTCCCACTCCTCATTAACAGGGAGCAAACCGCATACAAGTCCCCGCCTCCTCACCTGCAGCGAGCAGGCCGTGTCCGTATCGCCCACCACCCGGCCGGCGGCCAGACTGCTGCCGTCCCTGCTCCACTTCCAGCTGACGATACGGACGTCGTCCGATGACCGGGAGCCGTTCAGGGTGACCACAGAGACGGGCAGGTGCACCGTCAGGTCACCGCCAGCGTCCGCCACCGGCGGCGCGTTCGTCGCTGGAAGGAGGGGGGGGGGGGCAGAGTGGTTAGACATACCAGTGACGGTGCATCTGTTAGGTACTGGGATTGTCTGATGATTGAAATATGAGTGACAACTCACGGTAAGCCCAAACACTGCATGAGGACTCCTCCTCTTGAGATTTCTATGCGCATTAGTTGTTTAGTCTCAACTATTACCTGGTACCGCTATTATATTTTGTTCTGTTATATCATTGGCAAATACAGTATCACCCTCTCACCCTCATAAAACGATAAATACAGACTATACCCCACACAAGACACTTAACCCGCGCCCCGTTGGGCTCTGCCGAGCAACGCGCCCGGTTGGGGGGGGGGCATTTTGGCCCCCCCCCCCCTAAGATCTCGAGAACCACGCAACATAGCGACAAGCGGTAAACGGCGTTGGATAGCCCCAACGGGGAACTATCTTGTGACCCAATTTTATTGACCTAGGTCAAACCGATGACGTCACAGGTCAGGTCAAAGGTCCAATTTTCACCGTTTACGGGCACTTCAAGAAATGCGTTGTAAAATCGAGTAAAATGCATTTCATTGAAAATCATCGATGGGGAAATGTTCTTCAAACACATATTTTGCTATTTGAGGTCACTGATACCAGGTCAGGTCACAGAGGTCAGGTCACGGGGGGGTCACAATATGAAAGTGTCGTGTGATACATGTTTTATGGTCCATTTTACATGACAAATGCGATTATATGGGTCAGGCAGCCTTTGGGGCCAGCTTAGATCACGTTTTGGTCAAGGTCAGGTCAAGGTCAGGTCAAGGTCAGGTCAAATTAGGTCAAATTTCAAAGTTAATATTTTTGCATAAAATGGGTATCGAATCGATGCAGCTCGTCACGGGGAGTTCAATGGTGGTCTTTGTTTTGCCGTACGAGGTCTAGAATTGCTAAAAATTGAGTTCAAAAATTTGACGTCATCATTTTTGAACAGTTTTTTCGCTATAACTTGGCCAAAAAACGAGATATCGATCTGAAATTTGGTATGTATATAGAAGAGCGCTGGGACTATCACATATATTCCGGTTTTTTCGAAATTCGGAAAATTTTTGGATTTTTTCAAAGTTTTTCTAAAAAAAATAATTTTTTGATTTTTTTTGGTCAAAAACCAAAAATTTTGAAAATCCGAGATAGCAGTTTTGTAGCGCCGCCTTTTGTCTACTAGACCATATAAAGAACTTTGAAATTGCTTGATAACTGTAGATTTGGTGAGCGTTTCAAGATTGCATGTTTTTTGCTCATTTTTGCTCGAACATGACCTCAGTTTGACCTCAATAACTCCTGACCTAAGGTGACCTAAGACTTGAAATTTGGTGTGAAGGTGTCAAATTGATGCCCGGGAAGGTACTGAAAATTTGGCGGCGCTGCGCGCCGCCGTTTTCTTGCTATTCAGGAAAAACCACAGGGGGGGCCAAAATGGCCCCCCCCCCCAACGGGGCGAGAGTTAACAGGACGAAGCCGCCCATCCTTCAATCGGTGTAAAGCAAGTCAGCCCCGAACCGTGTATTGTACACGAGCAGCTCACCCACCCTGGATGACGGTGACGTTGGTCAGCGCGCTGCTGTTGCTGGCGTCGTCCCAGACGGTCAGACGGAACACGTACAGGCCGCGCGTCAGAGACGTGGCGTTCGCCACCGGCTGCGTCGAGTTGACGATCTTGGAGGTGGTCGGGCCGCTGCGACAAAAAGATGGGGACGATATTAGGTGCAGTCAGATGCAGTTGCTGCCTGACTGGCGTCCGCAGGATAAGGGTGTCAAAAAATGTTGTATGAGAGCTCATATTGGAAGCTCTTCCAACGCGCCATGAACAACAATCCAAAACATGTTATAGAATAGGTGGAGTCTGCGGGATTTAATAATGATCCTATTCGGATCCAGCACCACCTGACCTCCACTGATTCTGGACCGACTCCGACGTCCTGTTCTCCGGCCGCTAGTGGCGCACCCGCAGCTAAATTCACGGCGGCCCCTCAGAGCCTTCCTCCCACGGCAAGCAGACCACTGCACCCACCACTTACACACCCATGACCCAGCTGACCACGAACTATCCATAGCTCCCGGTAACCACACCAAATTGTGCTCAGCTGGTGAACTTCCTTATCGCGCACTGACCCACCTGATCTGCTCCCAGAGCCAGCTGGTGACACGCAGGTTGTCGTGGCTGCCGGAGCCGTCCAGAACGGCCCAGGTGCGCGGCAGCGTCAGCGTCTGATTCTTGCCCGCCACGGCTGTTGAAAGACGCGAGACGTAAAGTTTCAGTGCACATAGTTAGTGAAACGACATAACACAGGCTGGGGGATGTCGCCAAGAGAACACAGATTACAAGTCACAGCTATGCGAGTCAACACATGATTCCAGACACAGATTCCAGAGAGAAAATGAAACGGATGGCTGGAGTTGGACTTCCATGAAATGCATTTGAGACTGAAGAAAAGCAAGCAATTTCAATGAAAATCACTATATAAAGTGTCGCCACAAAACGTTTCCATTTTCTGGAGGCGATAGTGACCACTGCGTGTCAGTTTCTTCCTCACCGGTTGGAGGAGTGTTGGGCTGCGATTTCACCACCACCAGCACACTGTCCGTGCTCGTATGCTCGGCCGAGTCGGTCACCTTCAGTATAAACTCGTAGACGCCCTTCTCAAGGTTGGACAGATGCAGAAACGGTTTGTGGGTATCCTGTCAACAATCCGATAAACATTAAAACCATCGCCGGAGACTGACTCGGAGAATTCCGCTCCCACATGATGAAGGCTGCAACACAGCTTTAATATTTACATTTCTAATATAGCAAGAGTCCATACAGGGTTCAATTTCCACCTCCTATCGAGTGGAAGGTACAGATTGAATACGACCTTATGATACGGACAGACCACCGTCGCTACTTGAACTGTGCTATCAACTAGGTCAGCGCATCAAGCACAAGGAAAGCCTAGACTTTAAACCACCTACGTTGTAATGCTGTGATCGGTAATCATCAAGGAAAAAAAGAAATAAAATGATTTAAAGAAAAGGAAACAGCCATTGCATATAGCGCCTGCGAAGTGCGAGTGTGAAAAATACAGACGTGCTTCATGTAAGATGACGATCATTAACGATGACCCACGATGCAGTTATGCGAATTGTGCCGTAATTACCTGCATATCGACGGCTCTATCCTCAGAGCCCGGTGCCTTGGTCCACTCGTACGAGACAATGCCCTTGTCGTCTGTGCTGGCGTTTCCGTACAGTGTTACTGCATTCTGCCGCAGAGAATGGGTAGAAATGTAGCGGGTTAACTGAGGACACGATATCGGGTTGATAAGCAGCATAGCATCTTCATCGATTATTCCCCGATTAAAATATTTGAGCTTAGGGCAATTACCTACTCATCACATGTCGCCAGTGCGTTCGACTCGTACCGTGGCCCATCTAAGGCATCAATGGAACGAGGCCATCGCCACAGTCTACTAGACACAAACATCGGTCCCATTCCATTTCATAGCTATTCCATTTTATAGCTATCAACGACTCGCTCTCAGAGCCGTTATCGTCAGTCTTAGCCCGAGTCAGCAACACTTACTAAATGACCAGTGACCAGAGTACACAACACTGCTGAGAGCGTTGCCTCGGCCAACATAAACTTCAATAACACACTGACTTTTCTTTACATGACAACTACAGATATATTCGTGATATATTCTATATATAGACATAGATATATCTTAAAGATAGCGACTGAGCATCAAAGGGCGACTCACCGTGGGCAGGTAGACGACCACGTCTTCGCCTGCGTTGGCCTGTGGCGCATAGTCGACCTCCTTCAGCACTATGATGTGCGCGTCCGCGGAGGAGCTCAGATGTTCGGCGTCCTCGACCGTCAGCCTGCGGCACACACAACGTGAAATTAACAATACAGCAAGCATTTACACAGGCATTTATATTTTGGTTGGTGCCTTGCAAACACCGGCAGCTGCCTGTCCGAACGTGGTCTAGACAGGGCACATGCATTTCATAGCACACACTAATTCTGTGAGAAATTTGATGTGTAACAAGTCTTGCTCACAGACATCATTCAAGGGCAGCACAATCAAATTGATCAGAATCAGTTATAAAACAAAACACATACTTTTTAATGGATCACTGCGGGCTACAAGCACTGATAACTTCTACCCTGACTAGGCCTGAGCTACTTCTCGGGTTCTATGGAGCTTTCTATCTCTCCCACTAACGGCGCAGTCGGTAGTGGGAGACTCCATACGGCCAAAACTGACCGTATGGTGTAGTTGCCGGGCGTCAGGTTCTCCAGCTGCAGTGTGGCGGCGCGCGGCAGCTCCTGTCCGGGCCAGGTCAGCGGTGCCGCCACCACCTCCCAGTTGTAGACCAGCTGGTCCGACGGCAGATCGTCAGTCGAGTCGGATCCCTCCAGCAGCGCCTTCGAGTTGGGCAAGTAGAGCGTCTGGTTGACCGGCGAGACCACGGCCACCGGCGGCTGGTTCACCCGGGGAGCTGGCAGCGGCCGAGCACAGAATGGTCAGCAGAAGGCCGAACACTGAATGGTCGGAGGGACTCGGGGAGAAAGAGGTCGTACCCGCGGCAGATGTATGATCATATACAGCTACTTCGCTGTCTTTATGAATAAATATCTCGTCTCTTCACGTCAGTCTATTCGTTCGCCTATGTCTTCGTTCATCTGCCCGTCCGTTCACTTCCATTTCAGTCCATCTGTCCGTCCTCTCACCTTCCAGTCAGTCCATCTGTCTGTCTGCCCCTATTCGTCAGTCCGTCCGTTCGTTAAAGTTCGTTTGATCATTTGTCCGTCCTGTCACTCTTCAGTTGATCAGTTCGTCCGTTCTTATCCGCCCGTCTGTCCGTTTCTATCGAGCATTTCGTTCGTCCGCTGTTTCATATACGTGTCTATCCACCCGCCTGTTCCTCCACTCATGCGTCCACTCGTTCGTCCGGCCTTCAGTCACTTCTTTCATCTGTTCGTCCTCCTTCCTCATTCTGTCCTTCCATTATACTCTAAATCCATCCATATCCTCCCGTATCCCGCGGCTCACCAGGTTTAACGGTGACATTGGCCACGGTCCTTCCCAGGGAGTGACGTCCCTCCACATCCAGCTGGAACACGTACACGCCGGCGGTGAGGTGCCGCAGCTTGAACTGCGCCTGGGCTGCGTCACTCATGGACGCTCCGTCTGCCACCGGGGTGGATACCTCCGGTAGCAGCTGCCACATGTAGGTGTATGACTCGCCTGGCCGCGGGGAGGAGGTCAGGTCAGTGAGGTAAACATGGTGTACTTGTGAGTCAGATAACTAGTGAGAAATGCAACGAAAAAAAACTTCAGTTTGAGCGTCGTACGCTGTCATACGACAGAGTCGGGAGGAGCACGAAATAAGCGAACACAAACAGCTTTGTGCCCGCGTTATAACCCTCCAATCCATGGACAACGATTGACTGCCTGCCAGCCTCATGACCAATGGAACACTCGAGACATCTCAGCCGCTCCTTACCGTCTGCCGGCGGCGGGTCGACGACCGCCTCCAGCCGGACGTCACTCTCCGGCAGCGTGATGGTCTTGTTGACCACACGGACGGCCAGCGGCGCTGCCGTGGAGACGGTGGGCGGCGGTGGCTCGGTGGAGGCGGCGGCGGCGGCCGGCGGGCCGCACTGGCCGCCCTCCCCCAGCACCTGACCCGGCGGACACCGGCACACGCCCGCCTCCGGCCGGTCGGGCAGCGGCTCGCACTGCTGTGACGGCGGGCAGGCGGCGCTCACAGACGGCTCGCACGGCTGGCCGGTGGCGTCCCGGGACGGAGACGGTGGGGGTGATGCAGACGAACTGTCGCTGGGGAGACGGACAGACAGACACAGTTCAGTCAAGAGCTGGGAATACGGAGATCATGCACAGGCGTACCAATTTGCAAACTAAAGCGAACAGCGGTTATGGTGTAAAATGTACATGAAATAGACTCAGCACATTCATTCATTCTTAACAAAACAGTATAGAATAGAAAAGTGGCATATACCTTGGCCCTAACTCAGGTGCCTAACTGAGGTGCATCGTTTCTTATTTGAGGGCAAATACCCACAACCTCTCTGCATTTTTTTTTTGGGGCCTTAGGGTGCATCAACAGCAGTCATTAACCCCAATCCCTCCAGTCCAGCTCACCTGGCCAGCAGTGCGGCAGTGGCCGGCAGCTCAGCGGCAGACCGCTCCCAGCTGATCAGCCACACCTTCTGCTTGTGACTGCGGTGACGCTTAGGTAGAGTGTCACAGCCATCCCGTCCGCAGGCCAGCAGCACACACTCGTCCCCTTCCAGAACAGCCAGCCGGCAGCGGGGCTGACCGCAGCACAGGTGGGGACAGCTAGCAGTAGCTGAGGCTGTGCTGATGTTGGCTAGCTTCGTCAGGCTCGGCGAGGTGAGATCAAGACGGCGACCTGATTGAACGGCCGCTGAGCAGCCGGCTGGCAGAGGGGTCTCTGTGACTGAACTGGCAGCTAGGGTGGTCTGTGCCCCAGACAGTTGGCAGCTGGCAGCCAGCAGCAGGCAAAGCCACATTGCTGCTTGACACTGCAACAAGGCAGGATCTGGTCAGTTATTGCCTACCTACCAGAAAAATTAGATAGGTGGTAAAAGATACCACACCACACTTCAAAACAATGAAAACATAGTGGCAAAAATGACAAACCACAAGAGCCTGAAGTCATATCTGCTTTCTACCATGCGAGTTCCACCAATGAGACACCAGGAAATTACAGCATGCTGATAAAAGAAAAAAGCCAGCAAACAGCCATCTGTAAATTCATGAGACCATTCACTGACAATCAACAGGGGACATATTGCTGATTTCCATGCAGTATTTAATGCATATCTTGCCTCTTCCTTGCGGTGTTTGGGCTTCTATAATTAGTATGCAATGTTTCTGCCATTATTTGGTCACATTACAGTTCATGTCTTTTTAGTCCTAAATGGAGTCATAATAGCAATAGTATGTCATGACCCACAGCAAATGGGTAACTATTATCTGCAGTCCAGGCACCAGTCAGAATACACATTTTTACTTGTCATTCTGATTCAGGCTTGCAGGCCCTTACCTCAGTTGGGGAAACTACGAGGCGAAGATCCAAAAATTGATCAGCCAATCAATGGCTGGAGTGGGTGGGGGCTGGGGCGATGACCATATATGGTCATAAAATCAGAAAACTTCCTCTTTTCCATGCATCCTAGCATTCAAATAAAAAATAGGGCATTATAATGTTTTTAACCACACAAGGCCTACACTCACTCGGTGCACAATGCACTGGCCGCTCTAAATCACAGAGTTAGGACAAGGTCAAACAGTGATTGGCAAATATGGCGGATTGAAACAGACGTGCCAAAAAATGTAAGCACCACCATGGTTTTAAAATGCCATTAATTTCATTATTTTGCATATTGTTTTTCCAATTCAAATTGTGGTTAGATTATCATTTTAAAACTACATATCTTTATTTATTGTAATGAAATTAAATCTTATAACAATTTTCTTTCAAAATATCAATCCATTTATGGAATGGCCAGCTGATTGTGACGCCCACAACCCGCAGAAAAGCTGTTTTTCTATCATCATTTTGGAGTGAATTCGTCAAATTTAATTGAATCACGTTAATTCTTAGTGGGAAATGGAAGCCTTTTCTCCGATAAGTGGACGGGATACCGCAAGTACAGGCAGGTTATACCGTTTTTCACGGCCGTGTCCCGTAGAAGCGAGGGCTGCATTTATGCCCATATATGGTCATCAAAAGTCCATTTATTGACCAATCCATTTTTATCTTCGCCTCGTAGTTTCCCCAACTGACCTTCATAACAGAAGACTGCCAATTTCAGTGCATGCAGTATGTACATAATTTGGGATATTTTAGAAGGCGGGCGGTAGGTCGGTTAATGACTCCACATCCTGATCATAAGCAAGCAAACAAGCTGATCTCTAACATGAAAGGTTACTTAAACTTCCATGCAAGCTTCCATGCATCAAAAAACATTAAAATAATTAAGAATAACTATGAATCTCACCATCTCTCATTCTTCAAGCAGCAGCACAGTTTAATCTCACACAAATTTGGCGCATGGGAGTCAAAATAATCACTGGTATGCGGCATTCCTGACGCAGTCAAAATAAGTGTTTTCAAGAATATCAGTATTTCTTTAAGTACCATACTTTTTCGCTTTTAGTTTTAATCTTTTCAACAGAATTTTCGAATGATCAGAGATAAATTTAAATGATCAAAAACCCAGAAAAGTAACAAATTTTTAATTGCAATTTATACGTAATCCCTCAATGTTTTTGGTTACCGCTAGGGGCCGACCTTACTTTTGTATATTTCGAAGTCCATGATACCGGTTGTAAATGGCGAGCGTTGTGTGTGTCGACACGGTGTTGGAGTGCCCCAGTGACCCAATTTTCGCTCTCGACCGGGAATAACGAAAGAAAAAGTAATGACCGTCTCGTTTCCACGCTTAATAGCTATTGTGTAATGTTATGATGTTTGGTTTGTGCTGAATTGCGGTTGGTTTTAAGATGTACGTGCATTTCTTTGTAGACACGCCTCAAACAGCAAACTGAACGTTGCTGAACTAGGTTGCAGGCAGGGACGGCATGATGATCGTGTTAAAATCCCTTTGAATTGCTTCTGTTGGTTTTCTGCATGTTGGATATTGTCTTTCAATCTGAGCTATTATTTAGCTTGGTTGTGGATAAATACCAAATTTGTATGTGCACTTTACTTCCTTCCTGGATGTCTTTTGGGGTTGCCATGCATTGTTTTGCATCCCCATGGCTTATCTATCTTGATCTCATGATTTGAATTTTGAAGATTCATGATAACCTTGGCAACAAGTGCTGAATTTTCCCTTTCTTGTGAGATGGTGTAACTGGTGTTTGTCTGAAATCTCATTACTGCATTAACACAAGTGCCAACATTTTTATTGATTTATTTTTATTACTGCTCTTTGCTTTGAAGGATGAATCAATTTGATGTCCTGCTTTTCCTTTTCTCGGTGAAGCATGCAGTGGTAATAGTGATAAAGTGTAATAATCATTATTTAATCTTAAATTTAAGTTATATGCCCAATTCCAATCAACCTGCATAGGCAAACATGCATGATATATTTTACAACTGTATGTCAACACAAGGTTTATACAATAGTTAATATTTAATTCAGCTTTAAATCTGGATAAGTCTCATCATCATTTTTGGGGATATCATGAGAGTGAAAGCAAGCTGCCCTTGCAAGCTGCTGACTTCATGGTGCTTTATGTTTGGTTCTGGTCTTCATTCAAGGTCACTGCGGCTGCGGCTGTAGCCTAATCTGCCGGCTCTGTCGGTCTGCTGACGTCCCCCCTCCCCCCCCCCTCAGACGGAGCCGATGAGTACGCTCGAGCTGGGGATGGAGACGGTGGTGGTGGCCTCCGGGGATCCTCCGGAGCCGGAGCCGGAGCCGGTGGCGGCCCCGGAGCCGGCCACCAACGGGCAGCCGGAGCCGGCGCCGCCGCCGCCGCCGGCCGGCACGGTGCTGATCGTGAGCCGCTCGGCGCCGTCGGCCTCGGCCGGCGCTGCCACCGTGCACGCGCCGCCCGACCTGTTCCTGGTCACTGAGGAGGACGAGTCGCCAGGTGGGAGCCGCGCGCCACAGCGCCGACGGGACGGGACTCAGGGTGGGATGGGATGGGACTCACGGGCGGGATGGAATGACAGGATGGCATAAGGGAGGGGACTGACACAGGCCAGGATGAGGCCAATTTGGGACAGGAAATGGTGGAGCAGGGGCTAGACGGGTTTGAAACACAGGGCTAGCAAGACGCATTGACTAGATTGCGTCAATGCGAAGGATGGACCGCATTGATGTGTAGGCCAATGGGCGGAAATCAACCACAAGCGATTACGGATATCCAAATGAGGGCGCTTATCAGGCAGTTCGAATGAAAGCTGCCATTTAAATTGAATCATGCCGTTGCACATTGGATGCAACCCTTCGTAATCGTGTGGAAAGTTTCCGATTTTTTTCACATATGGAGGTTTCGTGCGAGTATCTTGTGTGCTGTGTGGGTCGTATGCACGATATCTGTCCGTGTTCTTCTGTTATACCTGTAACCCGTGACTGTCGGCCATTGTGGATTTCCTTTGTTCTGAGGCGGATTGTTTTAGTGGCAGTGCTCAGGTAATTCAACATCGAATCCGTGAGGGATTATTTAGGTAGCGCCTGTAGACAGTGTTGCTGCGATGAAGTAAAGGTGCTATAAAACCAGAACCCAATGCTGTTATGTTACACGTTGAAATCCCCGTGATTCGCTCCGGATATGCCAGCTCTCCGGATATGGTCGGATATGGTCGCATATGCCAATCTTAACCCGTCGATATTGCTTAAACCGGGCGTGTACCCCTGTTGGCTGCGCGCCGGTTCCGTCATGGGCAGGCCCCAACGACGCTAGCCAGTCGGACGGGACCTTTCGAGCGGCCAGCCGCGCCGCAGGCACCGACGACGAAAGCGAAAGTAGGCCACCCGGTCACCCCATGAACTTGGCACTGGTTTTTATTTATCCGTGCGCCGGGCGACCGGTTGCGCCATGGCCGGTGCGCGGTGGCCGGCGAGGGCTCGGAGTCGGATAGGGGAGCTGCCTTAGCTGCCGGCGCGGCGGGGTGATATGGTCTCTGAGAACGGCACGCCTACGTGACCGCCAGTGGCGGTATCAGGTGTCCGCCCGGCCGGCCGAGCTGGCGGCGCCGCTGGCGGGCCGGGTGCGGCGTTATGTGCGGCTATTGATCAGCGTCCCGTCGGCGTGCCGGCGCAGCGCGCCGCCCTAACCCACTGCACTTGGCCCACTCGGAAAATGGGTCAGCGGTGACGTCACGCCTGCCGGCCGACGCGAGTGGCGCAATAGCCAGATGTCGCCCGTGCAGCAGGGAGGGGGGGGGGGGTGCAGCAGACCGACCGGTCGGGGTATGGGCGACGAGAACGCCGTGCACGCCCGATGAGACGACCGCCGTGGCCGCAGCACTTTCGTTTTGCGCAGCGAGCCGCCGTGGCGCAATGATGGTCTGTGAGCGGCGGTGGTGGCAGCACCTGAGGGGACACCTGGGCCGTCGTTCACGCGCAAAGTGCTTCGACAGACACTGTCTCTGTCAACGCGTCAAAATGTTATTAAAACCAAATTTAATTAAAATGACGCCGGCTTTTGACCTATAACAACAGGAAAATTATAAGTATAGTTAGTATAACACCGCTAGACGGCCATGAGCCATCTGATTGCTGGGCACGTCACGTCATACACCCTGTAATTCATGCAGTGACCCTGTTGACACGTTCCTTTGATTTATGACCTGTCTCAGTGCTTACTATCGGCTGTGATCGGTGGTAGATGGTCTCTGCTCCACTTTCGTTATTATTACGCATCTGTCTATAACCCCTTCCCTTCGCTGACGTGCTCTCTGTTTTCAGTTTCGCAGTCGGACGAGGGAGGTGAGTGTGCCCAACACCTGTCCGTCCGTCCGTCCCCGTGTGTGATGTGTGGTGCCGCTTGTCCGCCCATAGGTGGAACTATGTGCCGAACTGGGGGTGCCCGGGCGTAGCAAATTCGCCGCCGCCATATAGGTTACCTTGACCTCCGCCGTTTGTTGCGGCTCCAGAGCCAAACTCGTGTGGAGCTGAGAGAGCTTGGGCACCCCTAGCGCGGTATAAGCCTCCAGCTATGTGTCCGCCCTCACCTGTGTGTGGATTGGGAGCTGCGAACTGTATGTCTGTATGTTTTTGAAAGATTTTATGCCGCGCTGCCAAGTGTTTCACCCTGCGCTGACCTGACCTGGCCTGACCTCATATGCCCTGCTATGCTGCCCTGCATTACCCGCTCATGCGTGCGTGGCTGTGTGAGCTATGTTCGCGCGCGCCACAGCTCGGTCAGCCGTCGGCACCGACCGCCCACGGGCGGCCCGGGCGCGCCTCCGTGCCGCCGCCCAGGCCCGCCAGATAATGGCGGCCACGATCGGTGTCAAGGTCACCCCCTCCCCTCCCTCCGCCGCCCGCCGTGTCGCCGACGGGAACGATAGCAGAACGGAGCGCCGTCCGCCGCGCCGCCGCGCGCTCTTTCGGTCCGATTTGGCGCCGGTTTTTATGCCTACCGGGAGGTCCGCTGAAGCGGGAGCGCTGCAGAGGTGCAGAAATAGGGGTGGAGGGAGGAGGGTTCGGTTACCGGACAGATGCGCAGTTAACAGACCAGACAGACTGACAGTGCAGAGCTTTACGAATGCTGTCGCCGTTAGAGGAGAGCGTGTGGCTTTAGTATTAGCCTGTAGGACACTGCGATGGTGGGATCAATGATATTTTTGGAATGCACAAAAAGTTGATGATTATGAAAAACGAACAAAGATAGTCCGTATTATTTTTTATATTTATACTCTTTCTATTATGCCATATTCATTATGATATGATATTTATATTATATTATATTTTAATATATTTTTCATTTTTATGATAGTCATCACAAGGCATACCCCAAGCTTCAGTGTTGCCTCTTACGCTGTGCTATTTGTTTTTTCTTCTTTTCCTTTTAAATGCTCCACCTGCTACACTTAAAGCCGTGTAAGAGGTTCAGGCTATCAAGCATCTGCATTGCACTTAGCAAAGCCGATGCATTCTTGTTACCTACCTTCCAACATAGTTATATAACCCTGTCGCGGTGTCGCTCCCCGCCCTGCCGGTCCCCTGTCTGAACATCATACCAGTCCTGGTAGGAAGGCGACCGTGCCCCAGACCGCTGCTTTGTCACAGTCACCTGTGTGCCTTCAGAGTTGTGCCTTCACCAGTGTCTTTAGAGCACGACTAGAGCCCTACCTATCAGTAGACCAGCCATGTGACGCGATACAACCGGACCGTATATAGTACGACCTACACGATGTCTCTTCACGCGAATTAGCGAGTTCGCAGAAACAGGGATGGTCCATCAGGTGCATGCTAGCGAAAGTCTCCAGGCATTTGTTATTGTGGCATGATTGTTGGCTCGGTATGCAGCCTTTTGTGGCTGTTATTGCAGCCTGCCATTCTCGAAACGTCTTTGCTGCTTTG